CACGGGACACCTCGGGACACCACATCGATCTCAGTATTAATCTCACTATCGAGCTCACTATCGATCTCACTGCGGCCCGGCCACAGGAGGATTTCGGGACACCAGTGGGACACCGGCGGGACACTGCGGGCCACCGGCCGCCGGAGGAGAAACATTTGGTCCGGCCGCGGCCCAGCCACAGGAGGATTTCGGGACACCAGCGGGACACCGGCGGGACACCGCGGGCCACCAGCTACCAGAGGAGAAACATTTGGTCCGGCCGCGGCCCAGCCACATGAGGATTTCCTCTCGCCCGCCCACGGAGCTTCTTCTCGCCCGCACGCACGCACCGCACGCACGACACGAACCCGAAACCGAAATCGATTTCCCGGTAGGGGGGGTCTTCGTTTCACGTCGGACTTACCCCCCAACCTCCGATGTATATACATATGTAAATATGCACGTATATAAATATACATACGTACGTATGAGCGTATCAGAGTGTGCCCAGACACATATTGCTGTACCTATATATGTAAGTGTTCCCCACACAAAGCTTGGGGTTCTTGATTGGGCTTCTCGAATTAAATGGCTGGGCATTACGGGTTTTTTCGGTGGGTGCCCGCCCGTGGGCGCCTCGAGGGCGCCTCGCGCTGGGATATGATGCCGAAGTTTCGCCTGGTGCACCCCCGTGGGCGCTCGTGGGCGCGTCGCGCTGACGAGGGGTTTGCAAAGGTCTCCTCGGGTGCCTGCTGGTGGGCGCGGAGGGCGGATGCGACCGCAGCCACTGAGGCCTTCTTCGGAGCACCCCATTGGGTCACGAAATGTGTGAGGTGTGTGCCTGAATAGGTGCGGCGGGCGCATGCGAACGCAGCCACTGGGGCCTTCGGTGGAGCTCCCTATAGGGCCACGAAACGTGTGAGAGGTGTGCCGATATTGGTGCGGCGGGCGCATGCGAACGCAGCCACTGAGAGGCCTTCGGTAGAGCTCCCTGTGGGGCCACGAAGCGTGTGAGGGGTGCGACGGTTGTGCCTGAATAGGCGCGTGCGGCGCATGCGAACGCAGCCACTGAGGCCTTCGGTGGAGCTCCCCATGGGACCATGAGGCGTGTGAGGTGTGCCGATCTGTATGCGGCAGGCGCGTGCGAACGCAGCCACTGAGAGGCCTTCGGTAGAGCTCCCTATGGGGCCACGAAACGTGTGAGGGGTGTCCCGAAATGGTTGACTAGTGCGGAGGGCAGAAACAGGGATGCGAGGAGGGAGGAGGGGGAAGATGAGGAGGAGGCAGGAGGAGTGAGACGCGGGGCGCTGCCTCTTCAAAGCCAGGACCGAACCCCACAGGATGGTTGGGAACTGCATCCACCCGCACGCACATGTCACCGATCACATCTGCTGTGCAAGCGCTTCGGCCTGAGAACACCTATTGGTGTGTTATCAAGCGTACTGCAGACGTTCTGCCCGCGAGCACTGGCTGAACTCATGACGGACCCGTATGGGTTCAGCGATATCATCCGGGAGCCCGCGTTCTCCTCCCACCACGCGGTGCACCTGCGTTCACCTAGCAGCCGCCCAGTGCGCAAATCTGTATGCCCCGCGCGCACCGCCACGCGCGCGTGCCGAAATCCATGCGGCAGTGTGGGTGCTCGAAGCAACTCAACACAGAGCTTTCCAACAAATGCGAGCGCCTTGTGCTTCAACAGGGACCCGCCCGCATCCTGAAAAGTCTGCATGCGCACCTCCTCATCAACACTCTCGTCAGCGCAATCGCATCTCCGCCGTGATCGTCACCGTCCATCGCCGCCATTGCCGCCATCATCAGCCAATCACCCTCGTCGCAAACACATGGACATCATCATGCCATCGCCGTCACCAGCATCGGCGTCGTCGGTGGATTGCCGTCGTCATCATCATCATCAGCATTATCGTCACCATAACCACCATCTTCATCATCATCATCATCATCATCATCATCATCATCATCATCATCAGTATCATCATCATCATCACGACCATCAGCATCATCAGTTTCATCATCATTCTCATCAACATCACCACCACCATCATCAGCATGGCCACCATAATAACCATCATCACCACCATCATCATCAACAACATCAACATCATCAGCATGATCAGCATCATCACCATCATCATCATCATCATCAGCATCATCACCACCATCGCTACTATGTCAGTCGTTGCCGGCGCTGCCGACGCCATCATGATACCGTGCCCGCCCCAGAGTGCCCGCGAACCAGCGCGGCCTTTGAGACGCGCTGAAGGCTCCCACCAGTAAACGAAAGCGGCCGCAGCAGTTGTGCCAAGCCAGCTGGCCGCTCTGCGCGCGAGGGTGCGCTCGCCAGCGCGGTGCGCCATCGAGCGCCAAACAGTCACCACAACCGAGGCCGCATAAGAATTGCAAAACAAGCTGCGGGCGGCGGGGTGGGACGCGTGTGCGAGCAGCGGAGTCGACAACTCATTATTGACTTGATCAACTGCACCACACAGTCTGCACCACATAGTTTGCACATGCCTTGCACGATATCCGCTGCAGTGCCGCTGGGCACGGAGCGGGCGTGTCCCGAGGCCCTTTGGGCAGCCCTCTGAGCCTCGGTCCTCAGTCCTGTAAAGGGGCCCAGGCCCCGAATTCTCAAGATCTTCCGGAGCTCGCCGCGTGCCCCCCGCGGGCTCCCCCGCGGCTCCCCGCGCGACCCGTTCGGGCCCAACGAGGGCCCCAAGACGGGCCGAGAGAGTCCCAAGAGGCCCCCCAGGGCGGTCCGAGAGGGCGTCGAGACGCCTAAAGATCGCTCGCGGACGCCCAAGATGGCTACAACGCGGCCCAGTAGGCCTTCAAGACGCCACAAGAGGCGTCCAAGCAGCCTCCCAAGAGGGCTCCAAGAAGCAAGCATCATTGATTTCCGCTTGGTTTTTAACAGATGTTGGCCTTCTCGCCGTTTCGGAGTCCTGACGCTTCAAGACGGTCCAAGAGTTCCAAAGACCGCCCCAAGACGGCCCAAGAAGTCCGCAAGAGGCCCCCAAGAGGGCCTACGAGGGCCACGAGACGGCCCACGAGGAACCCAAGACAGCCCAAGAGGGCCGCAAGACTGCCCCAAGAGGGGCCCGAGAGAAGGAACACGAGCCGAAGACTGATGCCTTCCGCCCCAAGAGGCCCCCGGGAGGCCCCAAGAAGCGCCCAAAAGGCCCCCACGAGACCCCAAAGGGGCTCCGAAAGCGCCCCAAGAGACCCCAACACGGTCCACAGGAAGCCTCAAGACGGCCCCCCAAGAGGCACCCGAGAGGGCTCTCTCGACATCCCAGCAAGCATCCTAGGTGCCTATGACCCACAACCCAGGCACGGTGACGGGCTGGGCCGAATGTCACTAGATAGCTTACAGGGCATTTTCTAATACATAAGATTTTTAACATATAGGAGCTTTAAACCATGATTAAGTTATGAATAAATGTATGCATGAACTCACCGTCGTTTGTAATACTAATTCCCTGCATGTTTAATACATGATCCGCACGCGGAGCATGTATTAAAAACGGCACTGCGCACCACATGGTTGCACCACATGGATTCTCCTTCCTAAAAGACTAATAGATTCTACCCCCCCCCCCGGACTTATCGGTTCCCCCGCGCGTGCTGTAAATCATATATGATTCTGACCACATGTCCATCCTAAATATGAATTCATACCATCCCAGCCAATCCGGGTTCCCCCCCCCTGCGGTTCCCTGTCAAATTACACTATGCGGGGACATGTTTCTTTCTAACACAACATTTTTTCACAAATCCCTTGCAAAAAACGGGACGAAGTGCACACGCGCGCGTCGTCGCGCGCGCATGCCGAAATCCTTCAAAAACCTTCGGTGCCGGAAGGATTTCGCAATCGAGTTTCCGAAAAACACACAAAAACACATGGTTTCGCAACACTGGTTTGCTAAAAAAACTTCCGCGCGAGCTCTTGCGAAATCTTAAGAAAACCATGAGTTTTTTTCAAGATTTTCCCAAAATGCTACCAAACGGGCTTCGCGCGCGCGCATGTCGAAATCTGTCGAACGCCCTTGCGCGTGTACCGTCACGAGAATCCTCTGCAAAAAATGGGACGAAGTGCAGACGCGCGCGTCGTCGCGGACGTATGCTGAAAACCTTCGAAACCCATCGGTTTCGGAAGGAGTTCAAAATCGTGCGTCCAAAAAACCTGCAAGAACCCAAGGTTTCGCAACACGGATTTTCAACAAAAGCGTGCGCGCGCGCTCTTGCGTCGTCGTCGTCGTCGTCGCCGTCCTCCCTCCTCCCGCGTCGTCGTCGTCGTCGCCTACGTCGTCCTCTGTCTTTTCTCCTGTTTGTCGTCGTCGTCCTCTTTGGCGTCGTGGTCGTTTCCATCGTCGTTGTCGCCGTGGTCGTCCTTCCTCCTCCTCCCACGTCGTCGTCGTCGTCCGTCGTCGGCGTCTCATCGTCGTCCCTCCTATGTCGTCGCCGTCGTCGTCGTCGTTGTCGTCGTCGTCTTCCCTCCTCCCTCGTCGTTGTCGTCGTCGGCGTCGCCGTCCTTCCTCCTTCGTCGTCGTTCGCGTCGTCACCGTCCTCCCTCCTCCTTCGTCGTTGTCGTCGTTGTCGCCGTCGTCGTCCTTCCTCCTTCCTCGTCGTCGCCTTCGTTGGCGTCGTCGTCGTCGTCTTCGTCGTCGTCGGCGTCGGCGTCGCTGTCGTCGTCGAAGTCGTCGGAGACGTCGTCGGTGTCGTCCTAGTTGTTGTCGTCGGTGTCGTCGTAGTCGGTCTTGACAGGTTTTGCAAACCAAGTTGCGGGTGGGTGGGTGGGATGTTTGCGCGAGCAGTGGAGAAGACAACTTCAAGTTCAGCAAATTAGTTCCACCACATACCTTACACCACATGGCGCGCACCACACAGCTTTCACCACCATGCCATAACACCTCCGTGAAGCGACCCTGGGCACACATCCCACGCAAGCACTAACTCTCCCTCTCTCTATATATATATATATGTATATGGCGAGGTAACAAGATACTGCATGCGGCCGCGGAGGAGGAAGGAGGGAGGGAGGGGAGGGGGAGGCAGTACAACAACTCAATGTCTGGGGCCCACGCTGGCGAACACAGAGACATATCAGGAATGCGGGGGCCGAACGGCCATTCCCTGTCCCTGGGTGCGTGGCGGGAGTGGGGCTCCGCGGTGCGGACTGCTGTTGCCTTGCTGCGCTGCGCTGCTGCGGCGGAGGCCTGCCGCGCCCGTCGTGCTCATCGTGAGGCTGCGGTTCGGCGGCGCTACCCGCCGCTCCGGCAGCGGCATCAGCGGTCGCGGCGCCGCGCCCGTCTCCCCCACGCTCAGCCTGCCCTGCCTCGGCTGCTTCGGCCGCTTCGGCAGCGCCTGGCTCGGGTCCTCGTCCGTCGTCGAGCTCCTGGGGCACGCTCCCTCGCCTCCCATCGAGGAGGTGGAAGAGGAGGAGGAGGCGGAGGAGGAGGAGGAGGAGGAGGAGGAGGAGGAGGAGGAGGAGGGGGAGGCCCTCCGCTGTCCGCACATTTCCTCCCCACTCCTCCTCTGCCCCCTCCTTCCCCTCCCTTTCTCGAGGGGGGGTGCCGAGTTTTGGGGGGGGGCGCATGCGAACCATGCCTCTGGGGCCGAAGCGTGTGTGCGACATGGGCGGGCAGGAGGAGGAGGAGGAGGAGAAGGAGGAGGAAAACAAAAAGGAGGAGGAGGAGGAGAGGGAGGAGACGAGCGCAGAAGATAGTAGGAGAACGAGGAGGGGGAGGAAGAGGAGAAGGAGGAGGAGGAGGAAGAGAAGGGGGAGGCGGAGGAAGAGGAGAAGGAGGAGGAGGAGGAGGAAGAGGAGACGGAGGAGGGGGAGGAGTTGAGGTGAGGTAAGGTGAGCCAAGCGCGCGGCACTGCGGGGAGAAGACGAGGACCCAACACTCCACAGGAGGGCTGGGAACAACGCAGGAGGGTTGGGGGGCATCAGCCTCCCTCCTGCTGCTGCACGAGACAGCCCATCTTATCAGCAGCCGCAGCCTCCTCCTCCTCCTCCTCCTCCTCCTCCTCCTCCCCCTCCCCTCCCCCCTCCTCCTCCTCCTCCTCCTCCTCCTCCTCCTCCTCCTCCTCCTCCTCCTCCTCTCCCCCTCCTCCCTCCTCCTCCTCCCTCCTCCTCCTCCTCCTCCCTCCTCCTCCTCCTCCTCCTCCTCCTCCTCCTCCTCCTCCTCCTCCTCCTCCTCCTCCTCCCTCCTCCCCCCAGAACCTCCCAGATCCCCATGGGAGCCCCAAGAACCCCCTCTGCCCCCCCACCCTTCAGACCTCCGCAGGGCCCGCCCGTCGCCCCCCCCCTTCTCCCTTCCCCCTCCTCGAGAGCAGATCCTCGCCTCCCCGACCCGCTGGAGACGCTGGCCGCCGGAGCCCTCGACCACCTCCCTGGCGACCTGCCCTCCACCCCCTCGTCGGGCCTCTGGCGGCCCCCGTCCGCCTCCAGGGGGGGGGGGGGCCTGGAACGGCACGAGGGACGCCGGAGGCGTCTGGGGCAGCCCTCGCCGCGATGTTTTGCCGGATCTCCCACAAGATACACCCTGGTCGGAAGAAGTACATAGGCACAAGCATGAAGCAGGAAGGCGTTGGAAGCAGACTGGGCTTCCACCCGCCCCCTGAAGGGGAGGAAAGAAGGAAAACAACCGCTCGACGCTTGAAGTAGGAAGGCGCCTAAAGTAGATTAGGATTTGGGCATCCAAAAATACCTACTTTCAACGACACGCGTGTACCCCGAAACCGCTGCTCCCCAGACCACTCCCAGACCGCGCCCGGAGAGGCGGTGGCGACGAGGACCTTCCACGAGAGGACGGCGCTGTCTCCACACCCGCGACGTCGGGATTTGTTCAACACGTGGGTCCTGGGCTCCGAAGGCCGAAAATTGCAGAATACGGCATGTTACTGGTCACGGCTCGACTCGAGGGGGTCTGGGCCAGTATCGCTTCCTCCTGTGGGGCCTGCTCCCCCCCCACCCCCCCGCACGGGAAAATGTCCGAGACGTGCCCAACCCATCTACAACAAGTAGACACCAGTGGGCCCGCTTTACGCGGATGGTAACATGCCAGGAGACGGAACGTGCTATGCAAGCTACATGGGGGGGTACGTACTAATTCCTCCTCCTCCTCCTCCTCCTCCTCCTCCTCCTCCTCCTCCTCCTCCTCCTCCTCCTCCTCCTCCCCCATCAGGGAGGGCAGCAACTGCCAATGAACATATTATCTGCGGCGACAGTTGCGCAGCTGGCAGCCCCCCACGGAGCAGCCAGGTCTCGTCTGGATCTGCGTTGCACTCCTCCCCGCTGGACCTCCCAGGAACGCACGAAGGGACGACCGTTGCACAGCTGGCAGCCCTCAAGGTGCAGCGAGGTCTCGACACCACCATACGCTATGCCTCACACGGGCGCACCAAAGTGGCGACTGTTGCGCAGCTGGCAGGACTCGCCTGGGTCTGCGTGGCACTCCACTCCGCTGGGCCTCCCATGGGCGCACGAAAGTGCGATCGCTGCGCAGCTGGCAGCCATAGCCTGGGTCTGCGTGGCACTCCGCTCCGCTGGGCCTCCAATGAGCGAGCAAAAGTGGCACTCAATGCGCAACTGGCAGCCCTCGCCTGGGTCTCCGTGACATTCCGCTCTGCTGGGCCTCCCGTGAGCGCGAGAAAGTGGCGATCGTGGGGCAGCTGGCAACCCCCGCCTGAGCCTGCGTGACACACACTCTGCTGGCATTCCTCAGAACGCATGAAAGTGGTGATCGTTGCGCAGCTGACAGGTCTCGCCTAAGTCTTCAATACACTCCACTCCGCTGGAAAGTGGCGATCGTTGCGCAGGTGGCAGCCATCGTATGGGTCTCTGTGACACTCCGCTCCGCTGGGCCTCCGATGAACGCACGAACGTGGCGACCGTTGCGCGGCTTGCAAGCCTCGCCTGGGTCTCTGTGACACTCCGCTCCGCTGGGCCTCCCATGAGCGCACGAAAGTGGCGATCGTTGCGGAGCTGGCAGCCCTCGCCTGGGTCTGCGTGACACTGCACTCCGCTGGGCATCGCATGAGGGCACGAACGCGCTGGAGCTCCCAGGAGCGCACGATAGTGGCCACCGTTGCGCCGCTGGCAGTCGCCGTGGAGCAGCTGGATCTCGCTTGGGTCTGCGTGACTCTCCATCGCGCTGAAACTCCCAAGAGCGCACACAAGTGGCCATGATTGCGCTGCTGGGAGCCCTCCCCTGGATCTGCATGACATCCCACTCCGCTCCGCTGAAACTCCCAGGAGCGCACGAATGTGGCGATCGTTGCGCAGCTGCCAGCCCTCGCCTGGGTCTGCGTGACACTGCACAACGCTGTGCATCACATGAGCGCACGAACGCGCTGGAGCTCCCAGGAGCGCGCGAAAGTGGCGATCGTTGCGCCGCTGGCAACCTCCTGGGAGCAACGATGTCTCGGCTGAGTCTGCGTGACTCTCCACCGCGCTGGGACTCCAAAGAGCGCATAGTGTCGATCGTTGCGCAGTTGGCAACCCCAGGGAGCAGCGAGGTCTCGCCTGGGTCTGCATGACATCCAACTCCGCTGGAACTCCGAGGAGCGCACGAACGTGGCGACTGTTGCGTAGCTGGCAGCCCCCTCAAGGAGCAGCGCGGTCTTGCCTGGGTCTGCGTGACACTCCACTCCGCTAGGTCCCCCATGGGCACACGAAAGTGGCCATCATTGCCCAGCTGGCAGCCCCCTCCCTCACAGAGCAGCGAGGTCTCGCCTGGGTCTGCGTGACACTCCACTCCGTTGGAACTCCCAGGAGATCACGAAACAGTTGCCCCCCCCAGTAGGAAAGGTACGAGGTTGGAGGCAGGACGAGTGAAGCAAGGAGTAAGAGAGAGAGAGAGAGAAGGAGGCATGCGGAGGGAGAAGGCGGGAGGGAGGACGAACGGAGCCGCGCGAGCAGTGCCCTATCGATGCCGAGAACCCCACACAGGAGGGCCGGGGAAAAACGAAGAAGGGAAGGAGGAGACGGGAGGAGAGCGGCGGCGGGAAGGAGGAAGAAGACGCACGAGCAGCTCTCCAGTCAGATCGAATACCCAGCGGCGCAAGAGGGCTGGACAAACCAATGTCGCCTACACGCAGTCGCGACCTTAGGCAAGAGTGACCTTCAATGCGCGGCTCTGTGGGGCCGCGGCTGGTCTCCGTGTGCGTGGGGGGGGGAGAGAGAGAGAGAGAGAAGTCCACACGCGCGCAGGCCCACTTCCAGGAGGACCCCTCCCGCACCGAGCGCCCCAATGGATGGTCTCTTGTACGCCGTGTTCTGTGAGAAAGGGGGTCTCGACCACAAGAAACCCTCCACTCGGGAGCGGCCAAGAGGGGGGTGTCCAAGAGGGGGGGTGCAAATCATGACCGGCGGCATGTGCGCGG